CAAGAATTGATTCATCGAGATTTACATTCTGGTAATATTTTGCAAGCCAATTTACACAGCGCATACATTGCTGATTTGGGACTTTCTGCATCATCTAATGTTAAACAAGAGGGTGATATCAATGGTGTTATGCCGTATGTAGCGCCAGAGGTTTTACAAGGAAAACCATTCACTCAAGCGGCGGATATTTATGGCCTCGGTATCATTATGACGGAGTTAGCAACAGGAAAGAGAGCGTTTGATGGTGAGTCTTTTGACATTGAACTTTCGGTGAGGATTTGTCAAGGTGAATGACCTGGAATCAGTGAGGGAACACCAAAATGCTACATAGAATTGGTCGAAAGATGCATGAAATCTGATTCAAATAAACGACCAACGGCAACAAATATTTGTCATAGAGTTGGATATTGGCTTGAAGAGATGGAACAAGATAATAATAATGAGGTTAAGAAGCAATTTTTTGAAGCGGATAATTTAAAACAAGAATTAAAATCACCGATTCATCCAAATGATATGTACACGAGTAAATCGATCAATACCAATAAGATAACGGAAGCGTTAAAACCAAAAACTCAAAAAACAAATTCACAACATCATCTTTCTAGGATCGTTGCCAGCCAAGGGATTGAGTCTGTCGAGATCAAAGATTATTAATTATCTATATATATATTTAATTTTTTTTATTAAATGATTCGTATATGTATTTTTATAAGATATATATTAAATATACAAATTATACATTTAAAAATAAATTTAGTGTGACATACTATGTAAGATTAAGTTTTATATGATTTTAATATATATATATATATATATATCTAAGCTTATTTAAAAATTTATTTAATAATAAGAGGCACAGATTATACCCACTAATCGGATCGTTTCCATATATAAATTGTGAAATTTTACCCGCTACCAGTCAAAGATTATATTGTAAAGACATCCATTGCCATATAATTGAAATATAATTTGTTTTTGGAGTAATCTAGACAAGAACTTTCATCATTTTTAGAAAGACACATTTATTTTTGAAAATCTAGCTTATATTCAAATCTTTTACATTTCAAGTGAAGTTTGTTGGCGCAAATTAAATAAATTGAGCAAACAGTATTAGATAAGCAACTATTATATGTAACTCTAATAATGTACTTTATTCATTAAAAAGAAATATGCGAATTTGAAACGTTATCGTTAGGGGTTTCAAAGTTAAAATGCGGAAATCTAATTTTAATTGAAATTGATGATGTATTTATTTTGAAATAAGTGATCCGGCAATCTGATCTTATCTTCAATTTGAACGAAAGTTTTTACTTTTTATTTATATTTTTTAAAAAGTATGATAAAAATTTTCTGATATTATGAAATGGGATCTACAAATACACACCCATTTCATTTTCCGATTTTAATAATATCTTGAAAAACAAATAAGATTTTTCAAACTCTCATTTAATTTCAAAATGCGCCACTTATTTGTTAACTTTGAAACCTTCTGTCATTGTTATTATCTATTGGATGAGATCGGGATAGGAGATTAGAATTTATTTGGTTAAAAACACTATACAATATTCTTATTTCTTCTGCAATTGTGCTTGAGGATTTACTAGTTTCACTTTATTACAACTTAATCATTTCGAGTCGAAAAAAGTGAAATACATGATCTTATAATAAAATTTGAACCGATCATAATAATTTATAATAGTTTTATATCAGTATGGTTTCTTGATAAATTTATTGATAGTTTTTTGTTTTTTAATTTCTGTTTCAAACTGAAGATCTATTAAGTCTCAATGAAATCAGCTAAACCAAATTTTTTTTTTAACAAAAAATCAATTGTCGGTTTTATTAAAAAAAAAAGATCCTAAAATGCTGCAAGATCACCAAAAGTTCAAAATAAAGTTGACTAAGCTAATAAATATATTTATTCAGTGAATATGTATATACATGTAGGAGATGATTATAGAGGTTATATTGGAATTTAAGACTAAATATTTTTTCATATTGCTGTATTATGAATATTCTACCGAATTGACAAGACTACAATAATTTATTTATAATAGACACCGAAATTAATAAGCTTATCTAACATCTCTCTTAAAAGCTTTTTATAATTTAGCAATCTCTATTCTGGTACTTGGTATTAACATCTTCGCTAATTAATTCATCAACGATCCATCGATCCATCTTTACCATTAATAAAAATTTTCATTAATATTTATTTAAACCATTCACTAAACTCATCAACAAAAGTGTAAATTATCATTATGAAAACAATGTTAATATAATGTTTAATCGCAATTTTTAAACATGCTATCATATAACTAATGTCATGACTTCTAAAGTGTTGATTGAATTTCAATTATCATTCTTTACTGCTTCATAAAGAGAGGTTAAATATTTCATTTTTAAGTCTGTCATTATTTGTTTATCAAGTGTATATGGATAAGTGGTTTGCTCTATTTTATATATAAAGTTGATATGGTATATTATTGTTTTAAATTCGTTTAGTCAACTACATATCTTATGTCTTAAAGTAAATTTAAAAATACCGCATTAGCTTTAAAGTAATTGTAACTTCTCGAAATTAAATAGTAATAATACTCCCTCTACACAGTATACAGGTACTAAAACGAGCAAGGGAAATACCGGGTACTGTGGCGGGTAAATATGGTATGAGCAGAAATTTTTTAATATGTTCATTTGTGTTGTATATAACGTTCCAAATCGGACCAATCGATTATGATTAACTAATCGCTAATCATTGGTTGGTGTATCGAAATAGGTTGAATATAAAGATAAAATCTTTGATTATAATGATACTATATAAAAACAACTAATCGATTAATTATTTACAATTGATTAATTGTCAACTAAACGATTAATCGATTTTCGATTTGGAATGCTAGTTTTATTTTATAAATTTATCAAACAAAAAAGTATTTTTATCTGATTTTGATTACAATAAATATATTTATTATCAGTGTACAAAAACAAAATCCCGGTGTAATTTAAGCGGTCGGAAATTTTTCATTCATTTGACAAATTCCATTGGCTATGAGTTTTAAATTCAGTTAAAAATGACGTTGAAAAAAAAACTGGTTACATCACTCCACAATTATGCGCATTGTTTATTATAAATTTATTTATTATATTTTATTATTATGTTCCATATTAATATGGATTTCTAATGTAACGTATGGGGTTTTGTTTAATTTGTCAAATTCGGATCTTCTTGTATATTAAATTATTACTATATTCTAAACAAAGATTTTTAGTAAGGATGACCGGTTGAACCGGGAGTCGAAAAATTTAGAATTTCATATGGTATGGCTTGAAGTCTTTCACTTCTCTTCAGTCAACTAAAAAAATGACTCTTCACTTAGTGATTGTTGCAGTATTAGGAATTTTGTTAACGGAAAACGTAGTCCACTTTTCCAAGCTAACAATTAAAATGATTAAAACTATTGAATCTTCCATTTTGAGCCTCATATTAGCTGATCTAGGAATTTATGGTTAGAATTCAATCTAAACTTTTCTTTTTTTCTAGTGACCTGGTATTTGATCGATCGTCAAATTTTAACCAATCAGATTCTTGAAAATTTTCAATGCACCAATGAATGTGATTGGTAGATTTTCGCGTCGATTAAATGCTATGTCTAGATCATTTATTTAAACTACTGAATTTCATTTATAAATGAGCAAAGATAAATAAAGTAATAATAATCATTTAATTATTTATCTATGCATACATTCTACAACCTTATAGAAGGATGTACTCAACCGTGCATGGAAAGTACGTACGCCCGTACGTCCGTACGTACGACTACTAATTTAATTCAGTAATAAACAATAAACGTATATTGCCATCACAAAAGGTGATCAAATAAATCTTTAAAGCAATTATATGTACGCCGAAAAAACTTTAAAAAAAACATATAGGAAATAAGGGGTGTCGTTTTAATTCGGCCGATTATTCCTTCGATTCAGAAATACGTACAATTAATGTTATTTTTCAATATAATTTATGTATTAAAGTTCTACGTATTAATTCAAAAATGCCTATATCAGAAAACTATAAATATGGCGTAAAAGAATTTTTCGTTCTTAAATAAACCATGTCGCAAATAAATAATATTAGTAGTTCTCAACACACAAAAGAGACATTCAATTATATTAGGCTTTTGAATGAGCTGCGTCGTGTTGGTGCGCATTTCATTGTTAATATTCCTACAATCGTCTTTTGTGGAAGTCCATCTGCAGGAAAAAGTAGCTTGTTTGAATTGATTTCAGGAATAAAAGTATTTAAATAAGATTTTATTATCTTTATATTACGCTTAATATATGACAATTTATACTAAAATATTACTTTCTGAATTTTTTAACCTAGTTAGAAATCTGTACTCGCTGTGTAGTAGAACTACGATTAACTGAATCTGTTGGAACATGGTCATGTCAAGTTTCTCTTCGAAAAGAATATGATGAAAATGAGAAACGTCTTTCTCGTCCCATTGAAACTAAATTTGGTGACTTGATCAATGACATAAATCAAGTTGGATTAACAGTACGTCGAGCTCAAAAAGCATTACTTAATCCTACGCAAGATAACGATAGATATCTCGAATGGAATTTTAATTGCGATGAACTTAAATCAGACGATCTCGATTTCACAAAAAATGTTGTATGTATAGAGATTAAAGCGCCCAATGTTCCAAATTTAAGTTTAATTGATTTGCCAGGAATTATTCGTAAGTTTAATTTTTTTTCTTTGGTAGAAAATATGATTACTTTTTTATAATAATTATAATATTTGGTCAAAGATCATAAAGGGTGAAGCTCATAAACTCGATCTCGGATATTGTATTGTGAATAATCAGACTAAAAAGCAGTTAATGGAAGATATTAAATCTGAAGATGATATTAAATTTGAGGAAGCTAACCTAGTCGAGGTCGAGGTTCGTTTATATTAGTTAAAATTTTAAATTAAATACCTATATCATAGTATCGCTAATACAGTAATAAAATTTATTCGTTAATAATAGTTTTTTGAAATGGGAGAATCATGGAATAGTTTTTATTCATTCGAAAAAGCTGGAATAAACCAGTTACAACAAAAATTGGCGGAATTATTAATTCAAGCTATTGAGAAAGATCTCCCAGACATTCGAAAAAGTGTTGAAGATAAATTAGACGAGGTATTCATACATTCATAAATAAGGTTATTTTTATATTCATTTTTCCTATCTCATAATTCATTATAATTTATATATATATTAGGTATGCCGAGATTTAGAAAGCATCCCGATGCAACTTTCTGATAATTCAAAAATTGAATTTTATCGTATGGTAAAAAATTGTTCAACGATTATTAAAACGGAAACGATGAGTTCTAATGACCAAATTGAATTATGGAAATCATTCAATAATAAATTTACACAATTCAAAAAAGAACTTTATGTTTTACGGCCAATTTTCTCAATTGGTTGTGAAATTAACACAAATAAGAAACTTTCAACTGCAAAATTTGATATGCTTGATGATTTCATTGAAGATCATACTATAATTGAAAATAGTATAGATCAATTACAACAAATAACAGAAGCTCAACTCTCAGAGAAAATTAGCAATGCTGGTGTAAGATTACTACCTGGTTTCACTCCTTACTCAGCTGCAAAGCTTATAATTCAAGAAAACCAGGCAAAATGGAAAAAACCTGCAGTGAATTGTTTAAATGCAGTTTACGAGGTTATGTTAAAATTAGTAAATTCATCTGTAGAAAAGACTTTTTCAAGATTTCCTGGTTTAATTGAAAGTATGAGGTAATAAACCGTTTTTAATTTACAAGAAATTATTGGTCCGGGAGCGTAGCTAGTGTTTACGTCAAGTGATACAAAAATTACGTTTTTGATGCATTTAGCCACCGAGCTTTGCCTTTTTGATGCATCTGCATAAATATTATGAAGATCATGTCAGAAACGTAACAAAATATGCATATTCACGCGTTTGTGTATCGCTCCCGGATCTAACAATGCTACGCATTTACTTTAAAATTAATATATATATATATTTTCGAATCTATTTAAAGAAATAATGCACACTCTTGGTTAGAAGAATGTAAAGACCTAACTGGAAAACAAATGGATCTCATGCACCAAATGGAACTAGCAAATCATCCATTTACACTCGATAAGCAAATGATGTTAAACTTAAAAATGACATATTTATATTCACTTCAACAGGCAGTAAAAAATGAGAATAAAGAACCGTCAGACGCTTTAGAAATTGTAGCATTAATTATGGCATATTTAAAATTTTCGATTAAACGTTATGTAGATAACATTGCTATGACAATAATTCATTTTTTAATAGAAGAATTTAGTAAAAAAATTGAAGAAAAGTTAATGGATATTTTTGTTCATAATGACGAAGAATCGATTAATAAGTTGATTAAGGAAGATGACAGCACAAAGTATCAAAGAGAGGACATGTTAAATCGTGAAAAGTATTTAAAAGAAGTGCTTGATAAGATTATAAAGTTTGGTATTTAAATCAGATTAAGGTAAATAATATTTTTTTTGTATCATGGATTCTCAAAAACAAGAACTATTCTTATTTACTAGTGTTTATTTTTTCAATTCTTTATTATTATTAGATAAAGCAATGGCATAAAAATAACATCCTTAATGACCAATCTGCATCATAACAAAAGTTGCTCTTCAAATCGATATATATATTTCCTTAATAATTTAGCATTACCTTTCATGTATTTTTATTTTTATTAATTACTGAATTATGTTTAACTAATTCCACTTACCTATCATTCGCATCTTTTAATATGAATTTAAACACTTAGACGATAATTATGTATATTTTAGTAAGCTGTTTTTACAAAAAATAAAATAAAACTATGAGGTTGCTTATCTTCGTGGTTATAAAGTATGAACGATTTTGAATTTTAATTCTGGTTTTCGGAATGCAATTTTTTGAAGTCTGCCCTCCTAAACTGATCCTGTCAAAACCGATAACTTGTCATAACCAATCAAAAATTAATCCATTACAACTATTTTTCCTTTTTTTTTGTTTTGATCGTTAAAACTGATAGCCAATAGATGTGTATATACATTGACCAGCCCTTATACAAAAAGCCTAGAATCTAGATTAGTCAATGTAGTACTACCCAATCAAAATAATTTAATAACGCTAAAAACGGTGCTGTTCACTCATAGATATTCTTTAGTTCAATTCATAGACAAGCTTAATTTACCGAAACTGTTTCACAAACAGTTCATTTATAGATAAATTAAACTTACAATATAATTCTACTAAGATTAGTGTTAGAGTTAGGTTTAATGTGACAAGTTATAGTTTATGTAAGAAATGAGCTTGTCAGTGAAATAAGCCGTTAATGACTTGCCGATCCACTTTTTCACCCGTCCTCGCTCAGGGATATTTGATGTTTTAGCTTGGTGGAGAACAAATGCACCAAAATATCCCACCATGTCTTTAATGGCACAAGATATCTTTGCGATTCCGTTGACATCCGTGGCATCTGGAACTATAAGCAGATTTTATATTTTCAATGATAAACTAACCTATTCAGATATTCAGTACAGCTGGAGCTGAGATGTTAATATGCGGTCAAGATTGGTCAAATGGTGTAGATGAATGGGGCAGGAATTAAACCTGTGATTTTTTTTTTCCTTGATAGTCTCTTTTTTGGCTTTTTTTTTTTTTTTTACCAGTTTTTTGCTTCACATGATATTCCTTTTTACTTAATGTTTAGAGTCAAATGCTTTTTCAGCAGTCTTAAACAGCCCTGTTTTATTTTTTGATGCGAAATCTAATTTTCTTATAAAAGTGAACAATATATTTGGCTAATATGAAAGTTTCAACCATTCAGTCCGGGGTTATAATATATCTGTTCCTTTTCATCATTTAATATAAGCAATATACAGGAAAACTACTAGTTTGTATTTTTGTCCAATTTATGTTTATTCTATTGATTTTACTGTATTTATATGTTGTGCAGCTTTTATTTAAAGACAATTCTAAAACAGATGATAAGGGAACATCCATAATTTACGTTAAACCAGTACTGAATTGTATAGAAATAGAGGTCTTAAGGATAATATTATTTTTGTATTATCATTAAGATCTCTATAACAATACCGGTTTAATGTAAATTATAGATAACTAAAGATTATATGTACCACCCAATCATGATTATTGAGCGAGTTGAAAGCTTCACGCGTAATAATAATGATTAGGTTTAAGGAAATAATAAAAAAAATAACGTTTCTGCTATTTGAATTTCAATACACTGTATAATCGCAATAACACCTAGGACATAATTAGTGTTTTGAGTTAAATTAGATTAGAAATTTATATATATAAATTATTGGACTATAGTTTGATGTAAGCCCGACCCAACCCGACCCGGCCCATTACGGACCCTATTGACCACGTCTTGAAAATGGTTTATTGGTTTAATAACTTTGTAATACATGTACAAGTTAATAAGACAAAGTGAACAATAAAAAAAAAAGCCATAAACTATAATTGCATTACATCCCATCGTATTATCTGTGTTGATTGTTTTATTGCTGTTAGGTAACAAGTGTTTGAAAACCCAAGATTACAAAAATTATAATTGAGTATGGACAAAATTATCCCTAATTATTATGCTTAGTTTTGGGGTCCACCATGGTTCGCAAATGCTAGATTTGTAGTATGCAGATAAACTCGTATCAGGTTCATCGACCTTAAAAATTTCATACATTTCCTATGTAAATAGTTAGATACGTAAGCATTTCTGATGTGAAAATAAAATAAAATAAAAAATAGATTATACCATGGCTAGGCTAATTTTAACTTTTCGATCTGAGAAAGCTTGGTGGGCAATTGAAATTTTGGTCCCAGAAAAATTATATAGAACCCATTTATCAAAATTTCTATCAACATCTGACTATTAATTCCGCTGAACTGTATGAAAGGTACTTTTACTGTTCATTTTTCCAGTCGAGCCTCAGTAGACCATTTAAAATTGATTGGTTGATACGGCTAGAACGACATCGATCAGAAATTGTCTTATCAGTAGTGGCACGTACGGAAAACTCCCACTCGCCTAGATCCATTCCCGATGAGGACAAGAATCGCACATCACATTTTCTACCTTTAGTATAATTTGTGGAATTGCTTAGGGGGCAGAAAGACTCGCCCCTAATATACAAAGATGAAAATTATAAGATAATTAGGACACAAAAGCTAAAAAGATACATTAACTTGCCATTTTTGACGTATTCCAAGATCTTTGTTGAAACCATCAACAATATACGAAAATGTCTTGACAATAATGTCAACTTCCGTGTGTCCTATGGAATCATTTTCCAGCAAACCGTTTCCATTGTAAAAACTACATATACATAATGAATTGGAATTTGCAGACAGCTTAGAACAGGCTAAAAAAAAGGTAATACTCACAAATCGCTATAAATCTTACTGAGCTTGTTGATACAACTATTAATTGGTGAACTAGCATAATTTTCAGTGCATAGCTTGAAGACAGCATCTGAATTGCTTTGGCGCATCATCTATAAAAATAAACATATGAAATAAAGAATAAACAAAAACAACAAAAAAAAAATCCAGCCAATGTACTTATCTTTTCAACTTCTAGAATAAATGTAAATAAATGTGTTTACATCATCGGGTAATTCTGGGATTGTAACTATAAAATTCCTATAATCAAGAGAAAACCAAGCCTTCATATGTGCAGACAAATCTATTATTTTTGAGGTACCATAGATGTTAGCCTTTTCTTCTGTTTATATGCTTTAAATTTTTGGATAAATTCATTGTAAAGATATCTTCAACAGATTTGCCTAAGGAAGATTTTACATTTGTGGGTTGATAGGAGATAATTTCATTCGGATCCGGAACATTATCATTTTCGTCATCATTAACCAATGTTAATAATGGCTTTATCAAATCTGGTACTATCAGGAAGCATGTTTGGTGGAAATTTTTTTTAGAGAAATCTTGGTTGGTTTAATCTGTGCAGATATTCAGGTAGGAAAGGTGTGAAAATAAATATTTGTGACTAATCTTGTATTACAAACTGACCTTTTGGCCATTATTTCATTATTTGCACTATTAAGAAAATGCTTGTTACATGGAGTCTTCATCAAATCTTCGTAATCATTTTGAACTTTTTGCGCCTGATATTTACTTGATATTCTTAATAGTTCGATACTCTCAGCATCAAGATCATTTCTGAGCTTAAGCTATAAGAAAATTAAAGACACTTTTTAAAAGATATACAATACTAACTTAACCGAAAACATTAATAATTTTGCCAAAACTTACTCAATTTCTTTTTGATATTACATTTTCCCAGAAATGACATATGGTTAGGTCGGCATGTTCGGAATCCACCTTGTGATAATGAAATAAACAATTAGAAGGATATATTCGTCGATCCAGAACCTCAAATATCAAACTGAAATAGAGCAAGTGGAATCGCGAAGGTGAGGACCAGGAAGTAGCTGGATGCCTCTGAAATCAGGAAGTAGCTGATCAGAAGTTCCATCACCAACACTTGGGCCAGGAAGTAGCTGATACCCCTGAATCATGAACAGGAGTTACCTTTCCACAATTAAATTGAATTAAATTGGAACGAAATTACCTTATTTTTTATGTATAAATCTCGTCTCGGTCTTTTTTGAGCTTAAGCTATAAGAAAATTAAAGACACTTTTTAAAAGATATACAATTCTAACTTAACCGAAAAT